ATAATTATTATTTAATTCAAATCTATTACTATATTTATTTTCTTTGGACGGTTGTTTATCTCTTATTTTATCATAAAATTGTCTATATGATTTATTATACATTGAAGCATAACTTTCATCTGGATTTATTGATTATTGTTTAGAGGTTTCTACGGGATTAGGTCCTCCTCCAGTATTCATTAAGATTTGGTATTCATCATCTATACTTTCTAAACTTAAATGATCAAAATTATCTATAAGTAGATCTAATTCTTCATTCATCTTCTTTGTCTTGATTTTCTTCAATTTTTTGTTTACTTAATATTTTTTTCTCTAGATTCTTCTTCTTCTATTATTTTAGGTAAAATGTTTTTTCTAAACTCATCATCCATACTTCCTGTTTCTATTATTATATTTTTCATTTCAATATGTTTTTTCCCTATTCTGGTTATTTCTTTTTCTATAAATTTTTTATCTACTCTATTATTTTTTTCTTCATTTTCTTTTAATTTTCTGACTTCAAGTTTTAATATATTTATACCATTTCTAACTTCTTTTATTTCATTCTTAATTACTTGTACATCATTAATTAATATTCTTATTAAATGTTTTAATTCTTCCATATGTTCACTAATTGACATTTTATCTATTTTTTGATTGACAATAATAAAATACTATACACTCAGCATTTTTACATTCTTTTATCATTTTATCATATTTTTGTTTTATAACTTCAGGATTTGTTAGCTCTTTTAATTTTTCATAATATTTTGCTTTTTCTTTATATCTTTCTTGTTTTAATTTTAATATTTGTTTTTCTTGAGTTTTAGTTATTTCTCCAGGTATTAATAATTCATCTAAAATTTTATTAATCTTATTCTTTCTAACTTCCTATCTAAAATATTTTTAGTTTTTTCCATTATATTTTTATGATGATTCATATATTTTTCTATGATACAAATCATTTTCAAATATTTCGCAAATTATTTCATATGTACGTCTATTTTTGATAAATCCTACAATTAATTTATGTAATATTTGTTCCTTTATTTCTCTAGATAAATTCCTAGTTATATATAATGTTATTATTTTTAATTTATTAGGGATAGGGTTATAAAATATATAACATCCTTTTTTTTCAATACATTGATAATAATTATTATTTTTAAGATTTTCATGATCTCTATGGCTCTGATACCAAAAGACGGTTACTGCTATGAGTGAACAAAAATCAAATAATCTAAAAATCTAAAATTTTAATATTCCAAAAACTCTTTTATTTTTGCTATTAGGTGTATATAAAGTCTTAAGATAAAAACTAATTTTTTGTATGCTTGTGGTAATCTATTTTTTATTATCTTTTTCATAAGTTTTTAAGTAATTCTTCAAAATCTAGTAATGTCTGGAAATTTATAATATCAATATCTGTTATCATATCTATGTCTGTTCTAAAAGGTATATCATATTTTGAGATATTTTTCTTTCTTTTTTCTAATTTATCTATTATATCTTGTATATCTTTTATGATTATTGATCTTACAATTCCTTTAGCAAAATTTTCTAATAAGTTTTCTTTGAAACATTTTAATATTTCTTGTGATGCATATAATTGTTCTTGATATCCTATCTTATCAATTTCTTTTTCAAACTTAATTTCTTTTTTATTTTTAACAACCTTTTTTATATTATATGGTCCTATCTTATATTTGGGTTTTTCTATTTTATAATTATTCATTAATAATCTCACAAATTTTTAGAAAAATTACTTGTTAGATTTTTTAAAGACTTAAATAGAAGATTCTTATTAGATAAATGGTTGTTTTTAAATATTTGTTAAAGGGTGTTTTAGGTAGTTCAAAATGTTTATAAAAGTCAACGGTTATTTTGGAAAATCCCTCTCTTATTTAGGTCAATTTCATGTATTTCCCTATCGGAAGTTTGTAATGATCCCTTCTTTTCTGAAAAACGGATTGTAAGTTTCTGAAATTTATACTTTTGGCATACTATTTTCGATGAATTACATATTGCCCATCTTGAATTTTTTTTTTCCTTTAAATTTTAACTATTTTAGTTTTAGAGGATGTTTGGTACAGCCTTAAAACACAATTAAAATCAATTTTTTGACATTTATTTCACCATTTCAACCTTCATTTTTGAACTCTTCTCTCATAAGTAGGATCCACTTTATCTCTAACGATCAAAAAATTAATAACAAAATCCCTACCAAACAAGCACTTAAAATTGAAAATGGAACCGCTCTAATTCACATTATAGCTCGAGTTACATAGTCACATTTTAATCAATCCTTAAACTAATTTATATGAAACTCTACATATTTAGATTAATAAACACATGTCAATTGGAAGTTGAAAAGAATGAAGTAAAATGATTAATTTTGTACAACAATCACACTTAATTGTGTTTTTTCTAGTACATAAACGAAATCAGGTTGAATCAAGTCAATGTCAGTTGATTTTGATCCTACTCGATTTCATAACAGTAAATAGAACTATTTATAATGTATGAAATTCTCATTTGCAAATTAATTTTGCACAACAATTCGCACTTAATTGTGTTTTCTCTAATACATAAATGGAATAGGATTGAATCAAGTCAATATTAGTCGATTTTGATCCTACTCGATTTCGCAGCAGTAAATCGAACTATTTATATCATATATGAAATTCTCATTTGCAACTAGTTCGGCTTGATTCTCAATAAAATCGAATTGAACCATATTATACTCCCTCTTATTCATTATGTATTAAACCTTGTTTAATACTATTGTAAATCTTATTATAATGAAAAAAGAAAAAACAAAGATTATAAAAGTACAGTCAAATAGATTCATAATTTCGACAAACCTACGACAAAGAAAACTATTTCATTGAATTAATTTTACTCAAGAACATTTAATTGCTATTTTATTGATACGCAATTGCACAAGTCAAACAAAATATAAGAAGTTATCTTTTTGTTTCGCCCCTGTTTAGCCGAGGTTAAAATCAAAATTTAAGTAGATTTTAATAAAAGTTGATAATATGATTGAAAAGTTGTGGGATCCATAAAATATGCAATTAAAATTAATTGTTAATTTTACCTCGGATCAAAATCTAAATTTAAATCATTACTAAACAGGTATTTCAAAAAAAATTCCAAGTTTGTTATCAAACGGACAATCAAAATTATGGGACATGAGGACTATTGAATAAAGTAAACGAGTGCAATTTGCATAATTTTAAAAAGTATAGGCGTGTAATGTAATCACTCAAAAGTCATGGGTTCGATCTACATCATAAAATCAAAGCATTCGAATCACGCTGTAAGTTCTAGATCCTTTCCTTTGCCACCCTCGGCTGTATAGATCCACCTGAAGAGAAGGAGAGAGAGAGAAAGGGGGAAACCCAGTTCAAATTTGCTCAACCTTGGTATAATATTGTTCTTACTACAGTTAGATGAGGCTTTTGCAGCTCGGTTTTGTAATCGCTTTGGCCTCTGGACTCGCAACAATTCTTATTCACATCACTGGTGTCTCCAATCCGGGTACAGATTAGAAGTCAATAGTTCTTAATTATTTTGTCAAAAACATATATTTTAATCAAATGTATGTAATTATGTATACAAATGAATGTGAATTTTGTACTTACAGATTCGTCGTTTCATATTTCGGATGAAGATTTGGAAGCGCTGAGATCCCTGCAGAGTCATTTCCAGCAGTGCGTAGTGAGTTTTCTATTCGGTTTTATTAGTTGGAGAGTTTAATTAAAATTATCCAATTTAATTTTCAAGTTTATTTAAATTTTGTGAAATATAAGGATGAAATCTCTGCAGTGGGTGAATTTCTCCTGATTTAGTGAAGCTTGACCCAGCCATATCGCAGACATGTCTATCCAGAATGAATTATTTGAAATTGGATTGAACTGAACTGCAATAGAAATCTTCAATTAGTTTTCCAAGATGCTAACTGTTCGTCTCTAGTGTGTTTCATTTATATGAATTTGAGATTTTGAAATTAAAGTAGGAATTCTGAATTTGAATTTCTCGTTTTCAATGAATTTCAATTCCACGGGGATCTTACCATTTATTACCAAGCGATGGTAGCCCCATGGAATTGGCCAGATACAAGATAGTTTCACACTAGACTAAGGTTCAAAGATCGACATTCATATGGGGAACTATGTTGGCTACTCTGAAAACACTAAGTTGCAGGTGGAATTTATTTAGGCTAAGATTAACCCCTCAAATGGGAGAGGCTGCCTCTCCTGGCATAGGCCCTCCTGGTTCTAACTTTCCAGCGGGTAGAAGCTAGTCTAGTTACCTTTCTTCTACCTTCTTAGCAAATGAATGGGTATGGAACACTGCCTTAGGCTGCAAACCACGGAACTATTGATATAATTGAGATTTATTAGCCAATATCATTTATTTTATTACAGGTTTAGTTGGTGCATTAGTAGCAGGACTCCTTATTTTCAAGGAGAATTGTTATTTTTTAAAGTTACAATGTATAATATGCTGAACAGAAAGTTCCTGGTTCTCATTAGATATTGGCATCAAATAATCAAGATGTTTTGATTTGTCTAGATGTTGTTATTGTGCATTCACTATATGGTGCATTGTGCAGAGTGCAAATGGATTAGGTTTACAAGCTGTAAGCGGCAAGGATTACTGTGAGATCACTATGAAGTTTCCCAGGGAAACAGTCCCAAAGTGGGTAGGTTTTCCTATAGGTGCTTTTGATTTTCTCTTACAGCCTTATCTTCCTATTCCTGGTGATTTAACACAAGCACATGATTCCCTCTGAAAACAGAGAGATCCTAAAACACAAGAACTTGAAGGCTTGTCCTTTGATTTCAATCTATGTGAAGCAGTAGCTACATGGGAACAGGTCAGCATCCTATCTGCTGAATTTATGAAGAATTTCATTCTTAATCTTTCAAGATGAAGCTATCTTGTAAAAGATTCTGCATATGATATCGTTCTTGTCATCTCTAAGGAAATTCTTTTAATATGCATCCATTAGGAGCTAATATTTTCGAATCTTTTTTAGTTAAATTGTTAATCTATTGTTCATGGGTCCACACTCTCTTTTATGGATATTACTCTATTTGCTACAACTGATTTTCTATTTAGCGAGGAACTTGCTCAGGTGCGGAATACTACAACGATACTAACACGGGAGTACATCGATGCTTTACCAAATGGATGGGAGGATTATGCATGGAGGAGGATCAATAAGGGAGTGCTTCTGTAAGTGTCATTTATTTACTAGTGCTAAAGATAATGACTAAACAAATATACGAGTTATTAACTATTCAAAGAGACGGGGAGAGAGAACAAAGTAAACTCAAATGATTATACGCTTTGCAGATTATATTCACTTATAGTTATAGCTATAACATCTGATTGAAATGTAAAAAAAATGAAAACGCATTATTGGACAACTTTCTATTCCCTTATTTAAACAATATCATCGATCAGCTTATCAATTGTGAGAAACTCTATCTTACTGCATTTTCTTGAAGTGGATGAGGCCTGTTTTTAGTTTCTTAGAGTGGAAGAACATCTATGTTTACTTTCAAATTATGCTACATATTGAGAAATAAAAGCATTTTCTTTATCTTTTTTCCAAGTGATGCCCACCTGAACAGGGAAGTGCTGACAAGCTTTCTTGTGGTAAATTTAAATGCATAAACTCAGCCCACTTGTACTATATTGATTTGACCTGATGTCAAACAGGCTAACACTACAACATTGGTGTCATTACAATTGAGTGGCTTATTACCAAAGTGTACAATGGTTTTTAACAAGTGTTCTTGGTTTCTTTGTCCATCTGTTTGTAGTCTGATTTTCTTTTTCACTGCAGGAACAAATGTGAAAATAGAACTCTCTGCATGGAGAAACTTTCTCTGGTTCTCCCAGAAAGACCGCCATACATACCGAGGCAGTTTGGACGCTGTGCTGTTATTGGTAACTCGGGTGATCTTCTGAAAACCAAATTTGGCAATGAAATAGATAGTTATGATGCAGTTGTCAGGGAGAATGGAGCGCCTATACAGGTTGGTGTCCTTTAGTGTTTTCCCTGACGAACTAATAACCTACTCATTCTTATCCTTTGAGTACCACTTTTCTGTGTTTGCAGAACTTTACAGAATATGTGGGTACGAAAAGTACGTTCCGCCTTCTCAACAGGGGTTCTGCTAAAGCTCTTGATAAAGTTGCTGAGTTGTATGGTATTAGTACGATTCACATGTCTTGAGGCCCTATTCTCATATGGAAGCATGCTAAAACTTTTGATTCTACAGATACAGGGAAGGAGGTCTTGATCGTCAAAACTACAATACATGATATCATGAGCAAAATGATCAGGGTGTGTACCTTCTCTTGTTGTTCGTGTAAATTTAGTTTGATTCTGTCAAGTGAACTTTTCTTCCCCTTCAGAAAGTGAGCGTGCATTTAAGACCATATCTGTAAGCAATGGGATAATTGAAGTCTTTGAATTACTAATGTGACTAAGGCATCAGTTACTGATGGTTTGAGTGTTTATACAGAACGTTTGCTCTTACCCCTTACTTTGTTATACCATAATTGTCAAATTCTCGTGCTTTGGTTTATGCAGGAAGTTCCAATTCTCAATCCAGTATTTCTCATGCTGGGTTCGTCCTTTGGTTCAGCTGCAAAAGGAACTGGGCTGAAGGCTCTTGAATTTGCTCTCTCCATGTGTGACACTGTTGATATGTACGGTTTCACTGTTGATCCAGGTTATAAAGAATGGTATGTAAAATTGTAATTCGCTTTCAGGATCTCCAATCTGGTGAAAATTATTTTGTTTGTTTCAATTTTTGAGTAATAATGGAGCCTTGATGTTGTCTCAGGAGTAGATATTTCTCGGAGTCTAGACAAGGTCATACCCCTCTACATGGTAGGGCTTACTATCAAATGATGGAATGCCTCGGAGTAAGTTCATACCTTTATCTCATTCCTTGTCTTGAAAGTGTTTGTTTTACTTGTTATTTCATGACATTTTCTTTCCCACACCAAGAAATTTCAGTTTAACATTTTTTCTTTGTCTATAAGCTTATCAAAATCCATTCTCCAATGCGAGCGGATCCAAATCGGGTTGTGAAGTGGGTACCAAGCCGCAGCTTAATTACTGCCGCCCGAATTGCATCAGAAAAGCTGTTAAGGTAATCTTTAGTCCTTTTTCTCTTCATTGCCTTTTACCATGTCTTGATAGTTGAACCGTTGTTCACTTATCTCCATTGGTTCAAACAAAGTTAATAAAATTTGATAATTAGATAAACAATTAACCTTTTTTTCTGGATTGCTTATTCAAATCTGTTCTCAATATTTCGTCCTTGTATAATGTTCTTCTCGTCATAGTCTTGCTGGAGTTTCAACAAAATCACGTGTATGGATGACATAGACCAATAGTACTTGTTCTTGCAATGTAAATAACATGATTGTGAAAAACCAGGACCAAAGATTTTGACTATGCAAAACATGTATGTGCCTGAAAAATCCCTGGAATAAAACTGTCCCAATAATAATATCCTGCTGAACTCGGACTATGAGATTAAAGAGAATGGTGTACAATAATAATATCCTGCTGAACTCGGACTATGAGATTAAAGAGAATGGTGTACTATACACGTAGTCTTCTGAATGGTCATGATAGACGGCGTTCAAGTGGTAAAATGAGCCGGAACCCTTATGTCTTACCAATTAATACCTGGCTAAGCTTAAGAAATGTGAAAGTCTTCTCCAAACGTGTTTAGTTGACCTCCTTTTCAAACTTCAAAGAAAAAGTTATTTTTTAAAGTAACTCTTAGCTTACCATCAAAATAAGTTATTTTCGACCCTAAAACTTATTTACTTGTAAATGAACTTTTTAAGCTTAGCCAAACTTTCACTTTGGAATGTTTCATTGTCGCTGCTGTTGTGATACACCTTGTGCTCGCTTCATATAGTTTTGTGTTACAATTTTGTTCATGTGTGTGGGTAAATAGGAGGATAGGAGCTGGATCTACAGATCCACTAGCTGCATGCTCTATCATCAAGAAGCAACAGGATGGAAAGCTCACCTCAATGTCAGGCTTTAGGAAAGCTGCCATCGAGCATCAAAAGTACGTAGAAGGCACCACAATGTATCCTTTGGAACACAATCCAGGACACGGCCTACTCTGTACAGTGCCATGAAATTGAAGCTGATTTTCAAGTCATATAGCGCAAGATACCTGAAATTTTTACGCATCAAAAGTTGCTAATTTGTCCCGGAGCGTCTAACCAAACCATTGTTACCCACACCATGCGGTAAATTTTTTATCTGACAGTATTCCAGGTACTGCTCTGAAGGCTCTATTTTTCTAAGCAGGGAAGGAATGCAGAAGATGACCAGGAATGTATGGGTTGTTTTTTTCTTCATTCTGGCATTCAGCATTCTATAAACCTTAGCTGATAGTATACTGAAGGAACAATATTCTTCTAAGTAGTTGTGATTCTTATAGTCATGTAAAAACTCCTCTAGAATCCAAAGTCATGCTTTCCTTGGAGCAACATAATATTCGTGTGTAAACTTTTGCCTCTTCAGGAACAATAAGATTCATATAAATATTCTTTTATATTGTAGATTTTTAATTGATATTTCTTTAAAAATAATAATGCAATATTCTTCCGAAATATTTTTAGAAAGTAATAAATTTAAATTGCACAGACATATCCTATGTAAGATATTGTAGATGGCAAAGGAGAGGGAAAAAACTGACGGGGTATTTTTAGATGTTAATTACCTTTTAATTGAATTTGGTAATTACATGATTAAATTTAAATTTTCTCCTGTTTCGAGTCTTGCGAGCAAACTTGTGTAACTATTAATCAAGAGTTATATATCTATGATTCGTATTATAGAGAATCAAATTGATGATGTATTATAAAATTTATAAAAGAATAATTTAAAAATTATGAAAAATTAAAATTCTTCTATATTTAATTGAGAACTAAAATTTTATATTTATAGAATAGATCAAAGCTATTAGGATATTATTTTCATTCAAAAATATTTAATTACGACAAAAAAACAGTTTGTTTTTTGTTTTTTTGTTTTGTTTTGTTTTTTTAAACAAAAGAAGCCCAATATTGGTTCTGTATTTTCGTCCTTCGGCCCCCCACTTAGAGGCGGACCCTTTCGTGGGCTTGGGTCACTTAGCCCATATAAGGCCCACAACCTAAACCACACGTGTCCTCACCCCACCCCCCAACACAACCTAAAACAATGGAAGAGCCACGACTATATTTTCTCTCACTGGTTCAGTGGTTTGCTTCATTTTCTCTCTCTGGGGACACACACACATGTATGTATTAGTTTGATGCCCATTCTTCGAGTGATGTTTTGTAAAATCACATTATGAATTTACGTTCGTTTATTTGCATGTTATAATTTGAAGTGATTGTTTAAGGTTTCATGATCATAAAGGACGTCACAAATTGTGTACTCGATGGATCGCGTATAGTAAGACACAATTTGTGATGTGATCAAAATTATGTCGTTCACAATCGGTTCATAAAGTTGGACGCTTTATGTTGATAAGATTGTATTGTTCTTATTAAGATTTGTCTAGATCTTGAAATATGAACAATAATGTGTTTCGATGCACATTGAACGAGACCGCGTAGATGACTCATTTGTGACCGTTTGAAATGAGACTCTACTTGATTATCAAACAGGTCACCTAAATCTTGAGTGAGTAATGTACATTTGATTGCTAGTTCAAGTTCTTTGAAGTACCAATGAATGAAGTCTTAAATAGAAGATTGATCTCGGTGCTTTGGGAATCGGGCCGAAACAATTAGAGATCATATACTTACAATATTGGAATCCATTAATCATTGAGATGAGACGATCGTCACTCTAAGGTATTTTCCTAGGTAAATTGAATATGAGCTCAGTAGGTCGACGATGAGATCGTTGGACTTTACATTGTGATTTGATCACAACGAATTTGCCGTATGAAAATGGAACTTAGAGGGTAATGCGTGTCGAAGGGCAAAATGGTCATTTTGCCAGTTTCAACATATTGACGGTCAAATGGGGGTTGACTTGTGGAACGATAATCAGAGGATATTGTTATTGGATTATAATTTGCTTCTATAACTATCACTCAACTCGAGAGTGCAATCTCGATTTTTTGGTAGAATAAGCCAGGATTAATAGATGTATCTCAATTGGTCAAGAGTTGACCCAATTGAAAACATCTATTGGAGTTTGTGTCATGTGAGTCCAATTAGGTCCCTCTCTTGGCTCTAATAAAAGGTGTGTGACTTAATTGGCCTACTACAATAAAGTCTAAGGAAATTTGTGCAATTTTCAAACCCTAATAAGTCATTATAAATATGCACATTATTAGCATATTTTGGAGTGATTTTAAGGTTAGGCACTTTTCACATTTCCCAAAAAAGGAATAACACCTAGTGGAGAACAAGGGAGAAGATCTAAGGGAGGAAGCAATTGACTAGGCCATTAATAACTCCTTCACAAAATGTTATCATCTCCCCCTTCTATATATGTGAGGATTTTATAATCCAATAATCTCAAGGTCAATGAATTCCTTACTTACATAATTTTAATCTTCAAAGGAAAATTAATTTCCTATTGTGATGATTAAAATTCATTAACCAACAAATGGTATCATAGCCAAGGTTATTATATTCCTTGAGTGGGATTACTTTTTTTAAATCCTAGTGTAATATGCATTTTAGTTGGGTGGTGTTCGGTTATTTGATTTTGACATGTTTATAAATATGTTTAAAGTTATTGTTGATACACTCATAATCACTTTTGGCCCTAGAATTTTTTTTACTTCCTATTGTAATTCATTCATTATTGTTATTCTTTAGAAATATTGTAAGCCATAAGGCATTAAGTTTTTTTTTTATTTTTTCTTCATTTTCGTTTTTGTATTTTGAGGAAGAAATGTAAACTTGTTGCTGTAATTTCAATGGAGAAGAAGGAAGAACAAAGAGCAAGAAATGAAACCAAAAACACCAAACATCGGAACAGCAGCCATAGCCGGCTGCTGTTGCTGCAACAGCAGCAGTAGCAGAAACTGCTGCCTTATGGGCAGCAGCAAGCCGCTAGACGACCGGCTCCGGTGGCGGTGTCTGTGGCGGCTTATTTTAGGTCGTCGAAAGTGTGTGTGTTTTTGGTGAAAGTGTATTTTCTTGCTAGGGTTTGAAAATTAGGGTAATTTGGATTTTTTGGGCATTTTCTTTAAAACTTGGGCCAATGTTATTTGATAATGGCTTTGTTGGTTTTAAGTTTTGGGCCTAAAAATTAAATTAACCCTATTTTCTTGTTACATGAGGTGGACTACAAGGAAGATTGAAGAATTGGTCCGGGATTGGCCCAATGTAATTCTTTTTATCCATGTTGTAATTTAAATTCTTAGAATTGGTCATTAGTGATTATTATTCTTTTAATTATCGCTTTTACCGCTTTATGGATGGATGAATGTTTAATTATTATCGCATGTTATGTAAATTAAATGAAATACCACCCGATGCATTAAAATCATATGCATTTACATTTAAATATTTTTTTATCACTCTAAAATTAATTAGAGGTGGTTGAAAAATATTTTATAATTAGCAACATTATAATTGTTTATATTTGACGGACTAATTAAGTGAAAATTCAACGGTACAAAATAATAAGTGGGAGGGGGTTTATAGGCATGTATAAACCTACGGCCTCCTCCGTCATCCAATTTGTTATTAAAATACGTATGTTTAGTATCGAATTATATCGGTCTCCCTATAGGAAAACTACGTTATTTTAAATTAACTGAAATTGGATCTAATAATAAAATTTCTTTAAAAATGAAATAATGGGATGATCATCCTATAGACGACATCTTATATATTTCGGATATTTTAAAATTATTGATGGAGGTTATTACACTTATATATGAATATTTTGGGAGACTTCCTATAGAAGATTTCAACAAAATTATTTATAGGCCAAATAATAATCAATCCTCGTTTTCTTGTGGCATGAGATGTAGGGATGTCAATTGGGCCGAGCCGGCTCAACTCATGAAAAAGGGGCTCGTGGGCGGTTCGGGCTCGTGAGCCTGTTCAGTGACCAAACGGTCACTGAACTTTTTTTTCTTCCCCCCCCCCATTTTTTGACTATAAATACCCCCTTCTCCTAAAATTTTTTTCATATCAATCGCTCTTCCAAGATTACAACTCTCTTTTATTATATCAATTATCGAGTTTTTACTCTCTTGTGCTGCAAAATATACAATATCAATTCAATTTTTACAGTTTATTAGTTACAATTTCAATTCATCCAATTCTCAATTCTCACAATCTCACTACATTTATCATAAATAATCACTGAAATGGATCAACTTTCATTTGTTGAGAGCTTGTTCGATACAGGATGTGAGCCATTGCCACATCATGGAGAATCGCTTAGTACGCCGCAAAGTCAATTTCCAAATGAATTTGCCGGTCTAAATGACATATTGATACTTGAAAATGTTCATATTCACGGTCAGGGAAGCCACATTCCAATTGATTTAGATGATATTAACGTTCCCGAAGTGGAACATGAAGATGAAGATTAGCAATTAAATATCCCATATGCGAGGGGANAAAAAACAAGCAAAATGTTGGGATCACTTTAAGTTGATTTCAATGGGAAAAGTCGTTGATGGCCTTGCAGAATCTAAAGCAGTATGTAAATACTGCCAACAAAGATTGGCATGGCAAAAAGGAATTGGTACCACTCATCTCAACCGCCACTACTAATCATGTGCAGCCAGACATGGACTTCTTCCAGCTGGTCAAACACAATTACAATTTGGCAGTCTAAGCGTCGATTCTACAACTTCATCCCTATCCACGTGGGTGTATTCAGAGGACAAGACTCGAACTGGAATGGTGAAATTTGTTGCCGCCACTGAGTTACCTCTGGCTATTGCAGACAACCAACACTTCGTCTTGTTCGTGAAAGAATATCTACAACCGAGGTACGTTGGGGTAAGTCGAAACACTCTTCGTGCCGATACAATAAATTATTTCAATAATTCAAAACAACAATTAATTATGGATTTACAACAATATGGGGGTGTTATATCCTTAACTTCTAATATATGGGAAGAGGTTAATAAAAGAACATATATAACTGCAACCGCACACTATATAGACCCACTTTGATGCATGCATAAGAAAATTATTGCTTTTAGAATTATTGAATTTCCTCACAATGCTAATGATATATATAATGCTATTATCAGTATTGTTAGAAAATATCATTGTGAGAGTAAAATTCGATCTTTTACTTTTGATAATGCTAGCGTTAATAAGGTAGTCGTCGATAAATTGTGTAGGATACTTCAACCTGATTTTGGTGGGTATTTGTTTCATATTCGTTGTGTGTGCCATATCTTGAATTTAATTGTGCAAAATGGTTTAAAACATATAAAGGATGAACTTCAAAAGATTAGGAATGCATTAGTTTATATTACGATATCTCCTAGTAGAAAACAAGCATTTGAAAATTTTTGTGCCGAACTAGGGGTGATGACTGCTAAAACATTTGTTAGCGACGTAGGTCAT